TCCACTTGCAGAACAAAAAAGTCATCCTTGTAAAGGAGATTTTGGAAGGCATCTAAGGAATTTTGGTGCCCAAGTCCCTTTGATTTTAAGTGCCAGTGGTCAGTGTCATTCATTTGATTGCCTTTGGAAAAAAATGGACTTTAATGTATTATGAAAGCTAGAAAAGAAAGTGATTTGAGCTATAATTTGCAACTCTTTGCCCTAAGTAATTAACACTTTTATTGTTCCAGGACTCAGAATTTGACCCGTTGAAGTTCACCAGTGTCATTGAATGCGAGAAGCCAAACAATGACTTAAGTAGGTTTCGAGGTTACATGTGAGTATTTCATATAATATCCTTCGGTATACACTCCTTCGCTCTAATGTGAAGTAAAATAAATGCTGGTTTGGTTTGGACTGTGTTTTGTAAGTTGCATCATCATCACATCTAAATAGGGCTGCATATTTAAGCTCTTTTAGAGGATCCTCACTTCAGGGTAAGATGGGAGCCTCATGTTTCAGTTCCTTAGGATGGATTTAGTTGTTGGCTTTTATCAGTTTACGCTCCAGAAATGAATGCATGAAGTAGTGCTGTTATAGACACTCTTCTCCCTTTCCTTCCCTCCATGGATCAAAAAAGCCCATCTGGAAATGGGAGGAAATAGAAAACTGGTCCAAGAGAGCCAACAAGCAAACACAATCTGTGGTACACCACTTTTATGAAGATGGGTCTGTTTGATGTTTCTTTTAATGTAAGTGTCATTGAGGAAAATTGGAACGCGAAACTGGTGTTTCGCCAGCTATGGCAGTATTCCTTTCCTCATTTAGACAAAATAAAATAAAATAATTGGCTCACACAATGGATGTGCTTGTACATAACTACACAGAATCACCTATGGCCACTTGATTTAATTCTAAACAGAGAACTGCATTAACAGGGTGCTCAACTCTGGCCAATCAGTCCTGCACAGCAGCAGGACTATGTGCAAGGTACTTTGCTTCTAACGTAGCCAGAACTGTAGTGTGGAGGCATGCCAACAGTGGTGACTTAGGAGATGCTCTCTTGCATCACTTATTTTTCTAAGGTCTGTAACCACATGGAGAGTGAGAGCCCAGGATATTTATTTTTTGGCTAAATTTTAGTGAAGAGAGTTAAACAGACAAATGATTTGCCACCCATATTGATTAGAGTGATAAGCAGTATTGAAATGTGTGCATGGCACAAGGTAAATTGCTGGAGCTTGGGGAGTTTTTACAGTGATGCTATTTACCACCTCAGTTACTACTCTCAGATGTCACAGATTGTGTAGGATGTACTGTCAATTGGTGCAAATCAGGACAGTTTTTTTGAAACTACATCAAGTTGTAGTGTGGGAAAATGTGTTCCTTTATTTAGCAGCCCACAGGCCTACAGTTCATTTAAAGATAAAAGTTTAGCATTAGACATTACTGCATGAGGGCGTGTAACTGTCTACATTAAGAGAGCCTGCTCTACTGCAGAAATGACATTTCCAGATATGGAGATAGAAAGTTCAGCAGCTTTTCTAGCCCACTTCATGTGTGTGAATCTTAGTCCCCAAAATACTGAGCAGAGGTTGAATACTATAGAAGATACACGTGCATTTGACTTTCGTTATATATTTACTTATGTACTCCATGTGGAAAATGTCTGTAGCATGTAAGTTACAGAACCATCTGAATTATGTAGCAGAAAACATGGTGGTCTTTTGGAAGACTGTTGTTCAATATTGATTCTATTTAATCTTCTTTATATTTTAGTATTTCACAAATGACGTGAATAAACTTTGACACAGCAAAAAGCCAAAACATCAGTTCTGAATGTGGCAGAAAGCATCAGGTGATTTCCAGGTTTCATCAGCTATGCTGCAAGAGATTTACAACTAAAGAACCATGAGTTTGAAGTAAAAAGTAGGGACCAACCCCTCCACCAATAAACTTTCAGTCTCCTAATTTATCACAGGAGAAGGCTTTTCCCCCCTCTTTTTAGATTTCCTTCATTAATATTATGAAATCACGGGTCTATTTCAAATCATACATTAGCAAGATGTAATTAGCACATCTGAATTGAAACATGTCATTGCCATGTCAAACTCAGATCTTTACTCTTGTTCAAGATCTTACCAGTAGTCACTACTTGAAAGAAAGTTTCAGACAGCTCCCAGCTGATAATAGCTTAACTGAAAAGAAAGGTTACTGAGATATTTAAATAGAGATGCTATGAAATAATAGACTTTCAAGAGATCCATGTGTAAAAGCTGTGCTGAGACATTGCTGGAGAAGTTTGCTTGAAGTTTTGACCGCTTAGTAGGTTTCCAGTTTTGATTAAGACTATTTTTTCTGTTTAAAATACAAAGAGGGAATAGGTATATTTGTGTGTGTGTGAGTGTTGTAAACATGTAAAAATTCTGTTCCCCACAGTTACTCTGAAATGTGATCACTATAGGTAACCAACGTAGCACAGGCAGGCCAGGGTAGAAGAAGACATGATAATAAAAAAAAATCACAAAAATACTGCAGAATGCATTGAGAAGGGCCTGGTCCTATCCTATATCTGCAAAAGTGTAGCGAGCACATTACTGCGTATGACTTTATCAGTTATATTGGCACAACCTGCATTGTGCACATGCTATAGTGAAGACTACCAGTTCTGCTCAGATGCTTGTTTTAGTACTGTTTTGCAGTTTCTACACCCTCAGATATCCCAAGCATATTTCCTCATTTTTATTTCCTCTATAAGAAGTCTTCTGTGTAGAAAGAATAGAGTAAAACCTAACATGCCCCCTGCCTGTATGAGTCTAGCCAGATTATGTACATGGCAAACATTCAAAAATCCCATGCCAGGTTCCAAATAACAAAGTTGGCTTTAAAATCTTGTTTCTAGCTTTTTGTCTGTATATGGGCAAAGGAAAAGGAGAAGTAGTAGTTGGCATTCTGGCCTCTCAGCTTTTCTCTGAAAGTAAAAATTTTATTACTAGACAAGAACAGAAAACTTTATTTGATCATACCAAAATAAGTATATCAAGGAACTATAATAATATGAATATGAATATGAATACATGTGTGTATTTCGATTTAAAATCTTATCATAAGATAACAAAACCAAATTAATATAAAATCATGTTACAATTTTGTTAACAAAAAAAATGTGTAAATCTATGCAGTGACGTCTCTTTAATGTGCTGTAGTGACACCGCCTCTCCTGGAAAAAAAAATCCAGCCTGGACTAAGTTTCGTCAGAACTGAGAGTCAGGAAGATTCTGACTGATGATGTGCACTGAGACTATGTTTAACATTGTTGAATATTTTCTTTGGGAGTGTCAAGCCGTGGAAAGTAATGCCAGCTCTACCATTTGCTTTGTAAGACACTTGAGAAACCAGAGAGTGAAAGAAAATACTCCCTTTTGAATACGGTTTTGATACGTCACCTTGTTACTTAATGCTGGTAAACATGTCACAAGGAAAAATATAATAGAAGGCTGAAGTGAGCTGCCATCGGACTTACTTTTGTGTTGCTGTATTACACCAGGAGGCTTATTTTTACACGGACACTTTCGGAATGCTTTAGCGAAGTTTGTAGCTAACTGCATCTGGTCTGCCTATTTCTCCTAATTTGTGGTGCATGTGTGTTTTAGCTGTTTAGATACTGCATATTTGTGGTGTCATCCATGTGAGAAATTGCGGAGAAAAAGAGAGCTGCACCTGCACTTGCCAGTGCATTTCCTTGTGGGCTAGCCTTCGCGTTCCAGGCGTCTGAGCGGCTTCAGCTGGCCGCTGTTTTGAATAATGACAGAGAAAAGTTTCCTTCTTTGCCTCCAAAGTTACACTGGCCTGAATCCAGAAAGGGGAAAACCAGACTGTTCAGCCTCTGTAACAAGCTGAAGGTTTGTAACTCTGCAGGGCTAGAAATGGGATCTAAGCCATCTCTCCACCCGGACATGAAATTATAGCCATGGCAGGGTTGTTACCAAAGTGAGCAGTTTTGTCTAACTCTAGTTTTCATTATTTTTTAATCCAGACCTTTATGTCTGTAATTTTTTCTTCCTTTTATCCTCAGTGCCCAATTGCCTTATATGTATATTCTGTTAGTGAATCACTGGGAGTGAGTGCAGACAAGAAGGAAACAGTGAGTTTCCTCCAGCCCATGCCAGCTTCTTTCTCCCAGATTTTGATTTCATCCATGTTTTCTAAAGGTTTGATGGGCAACAGGTGAGTTGATTGACTTCATTTGGATATGGAAAAGTAAAAAACAGTACCAAACCCATGTAAGGATGAGTTGAGGTGAGAAGGCTCAGCCTGTGGGTGAGTAGACTGGGGTCTTGGCACCTACAGGTTAACTTCAGATGTTGCACCATTGCTTTGGAGCAGTTGTGTAAGCTAAGACAGTAAGAACAAATATATAATTGTGCAAAACAAATACACAAGTAATTCTATATGAAGGTTACCATGTGCAATATACCCCTCACAGTCCACTGTTAACTGTGAAGTGTAAAAAATTTATGAAGGCTATAAAATCGTAAGCCAGAGCAAATTACTTCTTAAGTAGGTTTATCTTTTAAAAGTCTCATTTATTAACAGAAATCATAACTATCATTTGGAGACTTTATTGGAAATTCAAATATCGTCATGATTTACGAGAAAGTCTGATGTAGAACTCAGCCTTAAAAAGCAGAGGAATGGCAGAATCCTGGTAATAGTGTAATTTCTACAGTATGGAATCATTAAGAAATTATTTCCCGTAGTTTAAGCCCAGCCAAATTTGGGTAATTCTCCAGCTGGCAGTCAGTGCTTGCACCTGTTGGCGTGCTGCAAGAGGGCTGTTGGGCAACCCCAGTTTTTGAAGCTCCTCTGGCAAAAACTGAGGCAGTGGGTTGAAGAGGTTTGCTGAAGAGAACAAGCAAAACTGCTGTCCTTGTATCTGGAGGCAGCAGGAAGGATGAGGAGGAGGGGAGGTTCTCTCCTGATGAGAAAAAACACCTTCATTTTTGTATCAGAATCGCAAACTTGATGTTATCTACTTCTGTGCTTCTCCGTTTGTTTCTGGTCTCTAGTCAGATGACCTCAGCTGTCTAATCCACCACTTTTTCTCCATTCCTACAGTGAAAAGCTAAGCATACCTGTTGAAACACCAGTGCTTTTAACTTATATTTTTGAGCAGGGAGTCGGTATAATACATTATACAGTACTAAAAAGGACTGTGTATATGTGTCTGTATATATATACATATGTATGAATGTGTTTATATATATTATTTATGGGTATATTCTACTCACTAAAAGCGTTGTCTAGAGGCTATATAGCATAACCAGCGTAACAGCATAATCTGCAAGTAGTCCTACTAGGCTGGGGAAGAGTACAAAGGATTAACCAATGTGAACCTTTTCTTCTTGCAGATCTCAGGATATTTGAAATCATTCTTCAGGCCTGAGATCCCAGAAGCATGTGCTAAAGTTAAAAAAAGAAAATAATTTAGAAAAAGAAAAGTTTCTAACAATCAGAGAAAAGTATGAAGATATAACCAAGGTGTGAAGGCTTAGAAAATAGGAAGCAGATAAGAACTCCACCTTTTTATAAAAGACAGAATTTTAAGCCGGTTTGCATTTCAGGAGACACAGGGTTTTAAATGCTTGAATCCAAGTAGCCATAGCATTCAACATTGCAACAGCACAATGTTAAGTTTAGTATAGCACATGCGCTTTTCCAGGATTTCTCTTGAAGTCCCGGCTTTTACTAGTTTTTTATTGCAGTCCATTTTCTAGTCTTTGGAAGCATGATGGTTTTGATGCTTTTAAAGTGGAGGCGGAAAATGTAAACATTTCAGACGTTGCTTTAATCTTCTCTGAGGCATTGGGGTACTGCGGTTGATTAAATTAAGTTTTATTCAATTAGAAAAAGTTTGAAATTATTGTTTGGTTTGTCTTTTTTACCTAAAAAAACCCCATTCTAATGCTATTTTTTCATTGTCGTTGTTACTGTTTAGCATTTCCCTGGTGATGGTTAGTTCTCATAGGGCTGTTTTCTGTATTCCTCTCTCAGCTGAAATTTGAGTCAGTCCATATACAACCGACAATAAGCTGTAGTGGAAACATTACTTTGTTTCATTTTTCTTGTGTGTTTTGCTTCTAGTCAACAAGAATCTTCAGGGCACAGGCCATTTTGTCTTTCTTAGAGAGTCATTGAGACACTTCTGAAAGGAATTTCTCTTGGTTCTCACTGATGAACACATGGAATTTTTTTCCTTTCTTTTTCACTGAACTGACACATATTATCCCTGGCGTTTCATCCTTAGTATCACTGCTTCTGAAGCACAGTCTTTTCCCAGTTTCACCATATGTCTTTCTAGGATTTCTTTGATAAGAACATGTAAATAGTGGCTTAATCATATGCACTGTACAGCTGCTCTTAGGTGGACTGGATGAACTGTGATTGCACAGTCAATTTGCACATGCACAGAAAGTCCAATGAATTTTCAAAGACAAGCTGCACACATGCTATAGATTTGTCCTGCAGATCTCTAGTGAGCATTTGTCCAGTACGTTTGTACATCCAACAGCAGCTGGTACTGCTCCAGCTGGGCTGCTGCATGTCTGGGATTCTTGGGTAGGTATTGTCAGTTCTCAAAGTCTGCCAGAGAATCTTCCCAGGAGGGAGATCTAAGGAAATATTTCACCATCAGGTTGACAAAACTTCTTAAACTTTGAAGATGTTTCCTGGGCTTGTTATATTACAGAGTAGTATGATTTAACAAGCATAATGTTTTGACATGCTGTGCTTCGTTCTGTTTTTAAATTTTCTACAGTGTCCATAAAAGTGGAAAAAAGGATGGACTGTTCAAAGAAAATCTTTTGTTACGTGGATGTACCATTAGAAATACAGAAGAGGTTGCAGGAATAGTAATCTATGCAGGTAACAGCTGGTTTTCTGTCTGACAAGGCATACTGCCTTTTTATAGTTTCCTTAAAATAATAACAAAAATCCATATGACATCATTTGATGCAATTGCTTCTGCAGGGCATGAGACCAAAGCTTTGTTAAATAATAATGGACCCCGTTACAAACGCAGTAAGCTTGAAAGACAGATGAATGCCGATGTCCTTTGGTGTGTCCTCATACTTCTAATCATGTGTCTGTTTTCTGCCATAGGTAAGTGCTCTTTAAAAGAAGAAACTTAAGTTTATCAGCTTCTCTTGGGGTTCATGTGCTTAGCTTTATCAAAAGCAAGTATCTGCTAAAACATGAAATCGATAAAGCTGCCTCTGTACTGCCTAATTTTTGTTGCATTTTCTTCTTTGAAATCAAGATGTCTTGATACACAGGCTCATCTAAATAGCTTCTTAGTATCAATCAAATATATGCTATTAGTACCAGAGATATGAAGGCTTAGATTCTTCTACCCTTGATAGCATCCAAAAATGTCAAGTCCAAAAGAAGCCACTTTATATGTAGTCCACTCAAAATTACAGGTGGTAGAGTGTAATGTGCCATTAATCAATCAACAAATTTATGAGCAGAGAATAAACATAATTAGGGGAGTGCTATTCCCCAGTACTATTCATTAAATCAAGGGCACAGTGCACGTTGACGCACTGTCCCTAAAGCTGCAGCTTTAACAAAGAAGAAAGAAATAAAAGTCTAAATCTGCATAAATCCAAGTAGAAGACTCTCTAGACTTCATGGAGTGTTCAAGGAAATGCTGAGGTTCAGGCTGACACTCTTCAGGTCTTTTTTCTGTCCATTTGTGAGAAAGAATTGAGCTTTATGTTTGGCACCCAAAATGATTTTTTGTATATGGCATATGAATTCCATATCCTTAATGTTTGTGTGTTCTGTAATGTTTGTGTGTGAGTCATATGGCATAAACACCAGAATGTTTCCTAACAACCATGATGTAGTTTAATAACAATCTTACGCCATTTTAATACACCTCTGTGTGCCTTTTTCCAGGTATTGTTAAATGCTGCTTAAAGATGAGTATTTCCAGCTGTGAATCAGCCAGCATATGTGTTTCCACTGAGTTCATGACACTCTTTTCTAGTGCCTCAGCTGGGGAGCCCAGTCCTTAGGGCTGAAATGCCATGGTAGGCTTAATTGCAGGGAGTCCCTGCCTGCAGCTGTCCCTCTGCCACTGCATCCAAGGTGCTGCCCCCAGGGCAGCCGCAGCAGGGTATGCGCTGCAAAGGCTTCAGTTCAGCTCCAACTCCTGAGATGCAAGAATGTGAAGGGAGGAGGTGGCACACAGTAGGTGACACATATGCCTTCCCTTCTGTCACTTCTGCTACAAGGCTAGAAAGCACCAGCAGAGGCTCAGTGCAAACTGCTGGAGGTGGTAACAACCGAAAACAACTGGGAGGAAATTTGCAAGAGCTCTTGGAAACCAGAGGTACCTGGTGATTCAAGACGTGCAAGGCTGTGTTCTGTAAGAGTCAGGCAATTTTTGTACCTTCTGTCAAGTATAAGTGGAGGTACAACACTTAACTAATTCTCTCGAATATCTGAGTCAGGATATTTATAAAACAAGTCTCGATATAGGTCATTCTCAGTATGGGGCTTCCAATTTTTGCTCTCAAGAATAAAAACATTGACATCAATAAAGCCATTAGTATGATGATATGCTCATATTGGTAGTAACGGGACAAAATTTTCTCACTTAGCTTAAGTATTGTTTTTATTTTTCAAGAGTTCAGTGCTGGGTTTATGTGTCAAGATGTAAAGGACCTTGTCAGATATGGCTTGCAAGAGATTACTTTTAAAGTAGACCTTTGTCCTTTTTTTTTTTCTGTTTTCTGACATATAATGAAGATAGTTTGAATACTTCTTATCATGGGGGAATTCTTCCTTGTTTATAACCTTAAAAACGTCAAGCATACCATTTTAGGTCTTTTAGGACTGCAAATCCTAGTGCTGTACTTAAAAAGGCAACTTTCTATCTCTTTTACAAGAATGTCATTTTCCCAAAATAATAACAACCTTATCTTTATTTAGTTATCAGCGCAATCAATTAAAAAAACATTTTGAGCGAGACTTAGAATTTCTTCTGTTCTTAGTTCCTCAGCTTCCATGCTGTTGACTCTGCTGATACTGTTATTTCATTAGTTCTGTAGACATGGTGGGTAAGATTCACACAGTAAGATTAAAGTCTCTTCCAACTTTATCCAGCTGAAACTAGTTTAGTGATAGCTGGCTAGTGATGTAACTAGCACAGTCAATGGAGTTCTTTCATTTTAACATAAACTATCACTGAAATTAATCACTTTCTGAAGAATTCTGGGTTTCTCTGCTGATTACAGAAAGAGCCTAAACTGCTAATTTAGACTAGCCAGCTCACTTTGTTTAGATAAAGTTATGTGAAGTGACTCCTGCATGCTGTCCTTAAGGCCAGACAAATGCCTTTCTCAACCCCCAAATCCCAAGGCAGAAAAAAATTTGGGTTTAGAGCCTTTTTCAAGTGTCATGCAGAATAGCTGAAAACAAATACCACTTTCCCACGTAACTCAACAGACAAATTCATACCATAAGCATTTTTCCTTGGAGTTAATTTGCATTTTTCTCTCTTTCAACTCTTCTCCAGGTCATGGCCTATGGGTATGGCAATATGGTGAGAAGAAGAAACCAATTTTTGATGTTCCAGGGCCTGATGGCAAATATTTGTCTCCTGTTTTAGCTTCAGTGTATTTATTTCTGACAGTGATCATAGTTTTCCAGGTAATCAAGTTGTACATGCTGTCACCTCTGTTCATAGTTTGCTGTAATAAAGCTATAAGGAGCCTCTGGACGATGCTCTTAGTCATATGGTTTAGTTATAGGTCGTCCTGCAAAGAGCAGGGAGTTGGACTCGACCTTATGGATCCCTTCCAACTGGAGACATTCTATGATACTATAAATGTGCTGTATGTGTAGTACCCCTTCTACCACTATGGCACATAAGAAGCTAATCAAGTGCTTAAAAGAAGTACATTTAGTCACTTCAAAATTAAATTTTAACTATAGGGAATGTGATAATATATGACCAGAAAGCCTGGTGCACTCAACTCCACCATCTATGCACCCTCAGCAAGTTTGCTGACAACATCAAGCTGTGTGGTGCGGTTGATGCACTGGAGGGAAGGGATGCCATCCAGAGGGCCCTTATAGAACCATAGAATGGGTTGGGTTGGGAGGGACCTCAAAGACCATCCAGTTCCAACCCCCCTGCCATGGGCAGGGACACCTTCCACCAGACCAGGTTGCTCACGGCTCCATCCAACCTGGCCTTGAGTTAAGAGGACTAACAGAAACTCTTGTCACTGGGACATGCGGAAATATGCCCAGTGGGACGCTAGCAGAGGTTGCTTTACTGGAGGCAGCAGCTCCTTTATTAAAAGGAATGAAAAAAGCGTGTTAAATTACTTTTTACTCTGAGGTATTGGGTTATGCTACTGGTTAAAAAAAATTCACCAAACAATTCTTTAAACATCAACCTTTAACTGTAGTTTTTTTATTTAAATAACCACATTTGCCACTTAACATATATGCTATCATTCCGCAAGCTAAATAATGTGTATAGTCAGGAATTTCTGTCCTGAAAAACATCTGCGGAAAAAAACTCAGTACAAATTAGGTATTTCATGGAGTTTTGACAGTCTGCAAGAAACAGTTGAAAATCTTTTCTGGAGAGACTTCTTCTCATATCTCCTTCTACAGCAATTATAAAATGCTTTCTTCATTCAAATAATCTGCAGTGCAAAAGCCAAGGCCAAAAAGATTGTTCCTGTGGAGAGATTAACATTTCTTATTTTGTTTCTTGTATTCCTGCAAAGTGAATTTGTAAACAGTCCGTTATTTGTACAGAATAAATTTATCCCATTCTTTGACATTTACAGAATACTGACTGTACTATCTGTTTTGGTTTGTTGGGGTTTTTTTTCTTTTCCTTTTCCAGCTAGTTTCAAGCTCACCTGATTAGCCTGAAAAAGATTTGCTTCTGTCCGAGTTTTGATAATCACCCCTCTAGACATAATAATGCATTTCACCTCTGCAATTCACCATAGGTTTTCTTCATCTAACACAGTAAATAAGCTCTTTTCAAACGTAATAATAACTTTACAATAGATGCTTAGAGTACTTAGCCTCTTTATGTTCTAGTCTAGTTCCAAGATAACTAGATTTTACTAATTCATTGTATCCTTACTTCTGTTTTCTCCTATTTCTCTTTCTTTTTGTGTATTCTAGGTTATGATTCCAATTTCTTTGTATGTATCCATTGAAATAGTTAAAATCTGCCAAGTATACTTTATTCATCAAGATAAAGATTTATATGATGAAGAAACAGACTCTCAGCTGCAATGCCGAGCTTTAAATATCACAGAAGACTTAGGTCAGGTGCAGTTTATCTTTTCAGACAAGACTGGGACACTTACTGAAAACAAGATGGTTTTCCGAAGATGCACTGTTTCTGGGATAGAATATTCCCATGATGATAACGGTGAGCTCTCAATCTTGTTTTCTACCTAACAGTTGTACTTTGGGCAATCTGAAGTAGATATAAAAAATACTGTAATCTTAAATCAAAAAGAAAACCAAAAGAAATTGCATGTATCCACTCAGCAAACTCCGTAATAGCTGTTTTCAGATTAGTATAATTTGATGGCTGTGTTCAGCTAGCAATGACAATCTTATCAAAGTGTTTTGTAACATCTACAGTATGTTGTCAAGACAGTTAAAGCTTCTGGCTTTAGCTCCTGGTATAGTAAAGCACTTGAGCACATGGCTAATTAAAGCAAATTGAATAGTGCTGCTGGTATCACAATTGTTTGGTGTGTTTGAAGTATGCTATGTAAAATACCAGTTGTGAGCATACAGCCAGATTAGTGTCTGATTGAATACCTGGAGCACGATTATCCTTTTATGCTGAGAAATAAATGTAAACAAAGCTGCTAGTTTTCATACTAACAAGAACCGTAATCTGATCTAATAGCATATTTTATGTTACCTTTGTCAGATTCTTTTCAGTGCTCCTGTGTGACAGGTGTCTATATTAAGGTGTCTTCACTGCTATATGAACACAGCAGTTGAGAGAATGAGCCCAAGTTCTTGAAACACTAAAAGGTCACCCTTTGTTGCAAGGGAATGTGAGTGTTGTCATCCGTGTGTCACCCCATTACCCTTTTAAAGTTGTGCCATGATTTCCTGTTTTGTGATTTGTTTGTAATTTGTGTTATTTTCCTCTAACATTTTGTTGTTATCATTTTGACGTAACAGATCTTAACTCTTCAAGTCATACTCTGTTGGTATGCAGGAAGATATTGATAGCTACAGTATTGCATTCCTATTTGCAAAAAATAAATTTCTTAACGTACATAACATAAAGATCGCTGCTTAGAAAGTTTTCTCAAAGACCATTACAGAAGTTCAGCTTACAAATAAGATACAGAATGAGAGAAACAATCAAAATAGACTGGAAAAACTAAAACATGCTTTAGAGAGTTCATAAGATTTGAAGTTTTGGATTGTGCAAGGATTGTTCTTTTGTTCTCCTACTTCATAGTACAGAGACCTTACATTTAAGGTCTTTTTCAAGAAACAAGGTGTTTAGGAAGTGTTATTATCCTAGTGTTACAGGAAGAGCTTAAACAGGGAGAAGCTGTGACTTCCTACCTCTGTTCTATAGGTAAGAAAGAGAGAAGAATTAGAATTAAGACTTATGTTTCTGGACTCCTAATTCTGCTTGTGACACTCTGATTATTCATTCTTTTTTTCTTCTTCCTTGCCATTGATAGTTTGCTGGTTTTTACTAATTTCACAGAGTACTCTGTTCCTTGCAAGAATGATGATGGTACTGGCAACTGAAACAGTGCAGAAAGGGTATTTTTATGAGCTTGGTTTGGGCAGCTGATATATAGGCTGAACTCAGGCTTCTGAATTTGAATATTGAGTTTCAATTTTTTTTCCTTCAACTGTAATGTATTTAACAAAAATCTAAGTTTGTGCATGCTTTCCTCTTATTCTTTCAGATGACCATATAGATGTTAATGAAAGCAGAGTGAATTTCACTACACACAGAAGTGTCAAATAAATACATAAAATAAACTGATTCTTTTTTTGGTCATTCTTGTCACCTACGGCTATGTTTGGGCTTTCTTGTAAATCCAATCAGTTTAAAATTTCTGACAAACGTAATTTTTAAATTGACACAGAATTTATGCATGATTATTTTATACACAGTATTTTATTCCTTTTTTTTTTTCTTCTCTACGGAAAATAGAGTCATTCTATATATAAATGGTGATAATTTCCATTGTTTTTTTTTCCCTATAATCAGGATTAATAACACAGTAAACACTGTTCTTCATTCAAGTCTTTTGTTAGCTCTGTTCTCCAGTCTGATTTTCTAACCATGTCTTACATTTTCTGCTGCTTAAACCTTCTTGTTTAGATACGGTAAAATGTCTATCGTAGCTCTTCCTGGTTTTAGGGAATGCATCAACAACATTTCATTGCTCTGTGCTTACTTGCAAATGATTTGTCAGCTGCTTTTCAATGTCTTATACCCAAGTATCTGAATTCACCTCTGAGGTTTTGGGGCATATGTTATAACTGATGCCATCCTCCTCTGCGCCTCTGTTTTTTCTGAAGATTTCATGAATTAGAAAATTCTAAAATCTTTCACTTGGCAAGTCATCTGAGGTTGCCGTATATGCAAGAAAACCAAGTAAAATGCATCTGCCTTTTCTTACCTATTTCAAAGATGATCTGTGTCTTTCTTCACTTATCTGAGCAATTTTTCAGGCTTAGTGGTTTGTTACTTGAAATCAAACTCGGAGCAGCATGTTAGATGAAGAAATGAATTTAAAATTGTTGTACATGGGTCAAGGTTCGAAAGCTGAAAATAACAAGTCGTTTTCTACTGTAAAAGCAGATAGCTCAGAATAGAAATATCCTTGTTCTGAGCTCTTTGGCCTAAGTTTGTTATTCTACCGTGTCTGGGTAGCAGTGCCTGTTATTCCAGTTACTTGACCCTTCTCGTGATAGGATCCTGTTTTCAGTTATGGATAGTTTTACAAAACTTTTAACTATTTCGTTCAAGTTTTCCATGCCAGGTGTTTGCCTCAGGCATGAATTCTGGGGGAGAAATTTCAGTCAGAACAGCTCCATTCAGCCATATCCAAGAACAAGGCTAAGATGTAACACACTTTTTTCCCCTGCTGCTAGGTTCTGGCAAATTTTCTTCTGAAGTCATCTAGAGGCCCTATATTCTGGGGCTCAGCCATGCACACATGCAGAGAGGGAAAGTTATGCCTACAGTGGCAGATTGGTTTCTGAAATTTCCTCGCTTTGGAACTTAATTTTCTGTTGAAGCATTTTTTTCTGCATAATCTAGGAGTGCTGCATATCTGTTAATTATTCAATGACCAGATTGTGCATAGCCTTCACAAATTTTCTTTATGCTGCATTATAAGCTTTTCTCCCTAAAATTTGTTCACAGTTATAAGCAGTTATCCCATTCTTTTCTGTTCTACAGGGACTGTTATACTGCATTTGCCATCATCATATCTGAGTTCCTTCCGCTAGTACATTAAGCAATGCATGTGACTTGCCTTATGTGTAGCTTGGTCTTTCCCCTCTTCCTCTCGCTATGCATGCAGCGCACAGTTTGTTTGGGTTTGAGGGCTACTTAAAAGGCATACGCTACGCTGTGTAAGGTATTGCATATTTGAGGCAGCATGTCTTTTTCTTGAGTGGTGGGAGTGTCCTTATTATCTTTGGAAATTTGTTCCACAAAGCCATGTAAATTCCCCATGTGAAAGGTGAGCTTTACAATTACGAGTGAGAGTTCTGTTTTGCCTCAGATGTGGACATGTTAACCGTGGTTTTCATCACAGAGGCTTATGTGGACCTTATGCAGAGTTGAGGCAATTAAATCCTAAAATAAAAACTGAAA